GCACAGTCTTTCTTGTACATCGGTAAGTACATGGCAATCGGACATTGGTCTAATCGGCGAGCTATGAAATTGCTCTAAATATGTTTAGGGATTTATCGCGTTTATTTTAGTTCCGAACCATTTACAGCGTTCATGGATAGACTGACATTTCCGATTGCCAATGGGCAAGCGGCGTTTCAACGAAGCTCACTTTCGTCCAGGTTTATGGATCTAATCCATGTGACTAACATCCTGAGTTATATTTGAACGGTTTACAACCAAAAGTAACCTACTAAAAAATTAAGTAAGTGGTCTTACAATGTAGATGTTGAACACTGAACTATATTACTAGCGTAGTACGTAGTGGTAGTACCTCAGTGGTGTTGAACCCGCTATTATACACATTTACGGCCGTTTTCAACATTCTATCCTTAGATTTGGTTACCAGCGATATGTATTTGACATTAGCTACATAATACTTAAGTGAAAATTCTCCAGTAACCAAATCTACAGATAGAACATTAAAACCGGCCGTTAATAACAACGTCAAGCTAAATTTTAAAGTTAACTCGATTCATGGGAAAGTATGCAATGTAAAAGTTCCCTCGGCACACGTTGATTGGCATTTCCGGTGAGTTCGTATCGTGGTCACATTTTCGAAGTAGCATCTCAACGAAATTAATGTTCGGCTTAGTATCGCTTCGATAGAACAAGTCGTTTAGAAATGACACGATTTACAAACGAAGTAAAATTCATACATTGACTACCTCCCCGCCCCGGCTTCGCACGGGTGCAATGTATTAAATATAAAGCTAATGTAAAAAAATGATATACCTACATACGTGTAAAAAATGTTTCCATTGTGTAGTTTTTATTTTATTTTAAAAATAATTACGAATTGAAAAGCATTAACCAAAAACGTTTACCACGAAAACGAGTATTCTTCAACGTATACGTCGTGTTCGAATAACGAATTTGTTCATTTATTTCAGTTATAAATGTTTTGGACACGACTTGAAGATGAGCATTCAATTAGACACAGTTGCAAAGTAACGTGATAAGTGATTGGGGGTTTGAGCTTCGACGCCGTACTCGAGTCGGTTTCAGCATAAACAATTACTTACACGTCTCACTTAAGCCGCGATAGCTCAGTTAATTTAGTATTCGAGCAACCTGAACTCAAATGGCGGGGCCAATGAAATTGTTAATGGCAATTTAAGCGCTGACTCTGCTGCTCAGTGATGAAGGAAAAAATTGTGAGAAATCCTAAAGCATGTTTTCTGAATAGTTAAATATATATTTCGAGGCTGTCTCTACTAATTCGCAGTGGGGTCATGTGTTGGACTATGCCCTGAAACCCTTTGGACAGAGGTCTTTGCCCAGCAGTTGGAAATATAGGCTGTTTTTATTTATTTATTTATCCTCTATGCACAAATAGTACAATGGCGGACTTAATGCTAAAAGCATTATCTCCCAGTCAACCTTGGGGTGGTACAGAGAAAATTAGGTAGGTGCACAGAGAGAGCTGTTGGACATGGACAAAAAAAATCTCGTCCAATATATGGTGACGACGCCAATGTGTGGAGTTAATTATAAGTTACTGTTGATAATATATATAAGTTACTGTTGATACTCACGTAGGCTAGAATAAGACTATTATACCTGTATATTATATTGTACCCCGATATTTTTGAAAAAGAAGAAACTCAACAGTTGCCGGTCTCTTCTCAACAGAAACCGCTTTCCGAACCGGTGGTACCTTACGAACCTATACACATAATCTTTGATGTAAAATTTGACGATTCATAAGAGCGCGCAAGCGTCTATTTGAATAAATATATTTTTGATTTGATTTTGATTTTGATTTTGGTGAAAGGCCTGTATATCTGTAATCCCCGTTATGTCTTAAGATAAGCAATTTGTATTATATTAAAGTATTCTTCAAATTTGAATAAACGCTCGTTATGTTGTGACTGTAAATATAGACAATTTCGAATCGGTGAATGTATAAAAAATTATTTTTTCTCCAAAACCCTAAATGGAACTGCGCGCAAACTTTTCCACGTATATGCAATTGCGAATGCGAAATCAAAAACTCTAACGAACCGTAAAGCGGAACAGTTTGCATTCCAGCTCATTAAGCGATGTGAAATTCGCTGATTCGCTTAAAATCTACTGCAGTATTAATTGTGACTATCGCTGTTTTATGCATACGTTTGCATATACTATAAATAACATTATCTCAACACGTTTTCCTAATACCAATGTCAGATGTTTGAAATACAATCGCTTTCAAAATCAGTTGAGAAATATCTACTCCAATATGTAAATACATATTGGAATGGTATATGGACAATTAAAAAGGCGACTGGAGGGCGAGGCGATTTGGGGTTCGTCTTGAAATTTATTCATCTTTCAGCAGAAATTGTTCGGTTAGAGGTTTTTTTTTCGTTGGAACGTCCACTGGTGACCTTTATGAGGCCTTTACACATCCATCGCTTGAGATAGCCTCGTTCGATACTGTCACCATCACCGTTACAACCACTAACTTCTCAACAGAATTAGTATGAGAGAGATATAAGTATCAGGTCCTTTGATAAGGCCGACCGCTGAACGGACAAAAGTGAGTTAATATCACAGGGAATCAAATAACAAATCGCATCGGAAGAAAGAGAACGCGTAGCGAAATGAAAGTCCACAGTAAGCCGATTGCTTTTCGCTCTACATATTTCATTAGCAAACAGCGGTATCGAATGGCCGTCTCAAAATTGCAAAACGCTTCTAATGCCATTTAATATATGTTCGGATATCTTATCGGACTCTTGCTTTCGGATTTTTTTATCTGTTCGTTTAATGTATTTGTGTTGTCGCTATAACAACAAATACTAAAAAATATTTAAATACGGCTCCCATACAACAGACATGATTTTTTGCCGTTTTTATAGATGGTACGGAACTCTTCGTGCGCGAGTCAGACTTGCGCTTGGCCAGTTTTTAATAAGTGTGATAACTCTCTACGGCGGGATTATAATAAAATACAAGATGCAATTATGAAAAAAATATGAATAATATCATATAATATTTAATCTCATTTCTTTTTTGTTTAATTTATATATAATTGATTGACTATGACACTGAATATTACATATGTACGTTCAACCGAGCTTATAAACAACGCGCGATATGTGGTAAAGCTGTTGTACCCAGATGACGATAAGAGTCCTATAAGAGTAGTAACTAACTGTTAATGCAAACATCCAACGTGAAACATTTCATATTTGCGTTTAAACGAACGATGCCTTCGCGAGATAATATCCGTTTAAACCGGTAGGTTTAACTTGAAAGAACGAAACGCACAGTTTTAACTGGAGAGCGCCTTGAACTACTTGCGAGCTAGCCTCCGTTTCAGATCATGGTATTATGATTATTCATATCGGTAGTGATATTGAGCTTACCACTCGGCACGAGCTCTTTGTACTACTCCTACCTGGTTTTTCGTCTTAACGAAAAACATATTTTCAACCGACTCCAAAAAGGAGGTTCTCCAATTTGAGTGTATTTTTTGTTTGTTAGTTCGTTAATAAAAAACAAAACCGACTTCAAATATCTCGCTCTGTTTTCATTTCACAATCGAATTTCAGATGTTCCTTAAGTATCTCCGGAGCACAAGATCCAATACCAATGAAATTAATACGGAACCACATGGGAAGCACCAGCTTTCATATAAAAAGATTCATATAATCATCAAAATCTGTTCAATCTTCACGGTTCTGAGGTGACAAACGTAAACAAAACAGTCGAATTGCAAACCCCCTCCTTTTTCGAAGTCGGTTGGAAATAAGCTATTTCCTGCTCGGCCGTTTGGTTCTTTTCGTGGCTAAGCTTCACATAATTAGGTATTTCCTCTTCAAATTTATTCGACTCGGCTGGTATGATGTCGCGTGAATAGGGCACAAAAACCACAAAATTTCGCAATTATTAAAAGCGGTACAATTTACAATAATCGCCATTATTGTAAATTCTGATTTCATTTGTATGACTAATCACTGTGCAGTGCGAGTAAACGATTTATGTTTAGCAAAATTATGAAACTGTTTGGCACCTCATCGGATTAACGGAATATATAATTACTCGAATATGTTATTGTGTGATAATTTCTAATTATTTTCAAGGTAGATAAATATCTTGAGAAGAGAGTTTGCAAAAGCAAAGTGGATTTTAAATTAATACATCCCAAGGTGACGATTTGGGTTTCTTGACCGAGTTTCTTTCGCCTGTTCCTTCTCCTTTCCGAAACGGTGGTAGATTTAATAAATGACTATCGATAAATGAAATGTATTTCTTATTTCGATGAATAAATGATTTGATTCGATTTGATTTGGTCACTTAAATTTTGTTTACTTATTTGTTTTCTTACCGTCGACCTTGAATCATTATTGCTCGTGATTGACACATCTTCGTTGTTTTCGTTACGAAACATATCGGTTTGTATATTGCACAGCTCAACTAATGAATTATTATTATTAAAAAGTTAACCGTTTTCCGGTTTAGTGCAAGATTAGAGCTTACTTGAATGTTTTCAACGTAAACATTGATAAATGAGGGTACACGACTTATTAAATTTGTTCGTTTTGTAATAACAAATATCAAGCGATGGATTTAATTAGTTTTATCTTTTAGTTCGTAATGTACCGTATAAATAAAAATTTGCTGTCAGGGTGATAATTAACAGAATACTTCATGTCGATATGTTAATATCCGCGTGCATAAAGTTTTAAGCGAATTTAACATAATTATGTTTACAAAGTAAGGATACTTTGTACAATATATTTTCCCTTCCATTAAAGAGACTAGTTACGCTTGACGCTAGAATAGCTTTAATTAGATGAAAACACTTGCGCGTTTTCTAATTTGTTTTGCCTGCCTCAACGGATATAAATAACGCGTACTTTACAATACTTTTCGAATTCAATTGGTAGTTGAAAAATGAATTTTCAAAGTTCACATACATAGGCTAGTTATGATAACAGTTTCGGTATAACAGATTGAATTGAATAGCGAATTTGCTGCTCACCTCTAGCCCAGCCGGTGAGGACGTTCCCGAGGTAGGCCACCTTGTACATGGGGTCCGGTTCGCTGATCTTCACGCTATTCGAGCGGCGGAGCAGCCTGCCCAGGCCCCTGGACAGTCTGCCGATGGCTCGCGCTGTAAAGTCCTTCCCCGTGCCATTGTCGGCTAGGCACACCTCGGCCGGCAGTATGGACTTGCTCTGCGCGGTCTCTTTGTGCCCGATCAGCTTGGGTATGCCGAGTGGGATCGATTTCTTCCGCTCTGGAGTCAACGTCTTCGCCTGGTGCACGCTGTACACGTTACAGTTCTTTTTAAAGCTCTGTGCCGAATCTTTGGTGTCCGCGCCGCTGTCCGTACTCTCGGAGTCCGCTAAAAGGGTCGGTTTACCGTTGAGGTTCTCGCTGAGCGAGTTGTTGTTGAGGCTGTCCGTCTGTCCGTCGCTGAAGCGGCGCTCGGCGTTGGTGCGCCGCTTGGCGAGGGACGGGTTCCTCAGCAAGATGCTCGTCTCGCTGGAGCTCCTGTTCTTCAGGATGTGGATCTTCTTCACGCGCGTCACGCAGTCCACCTCGTCGGCGCTCACCGTCCGCTCCGTCTTGCCCTCTTCGTCCAAGAACCGTACGCGGAGACCGTTCGGTTTCCCGTCGCTCGGCGCTCTCTCCGCCTCGCGCAGTCTCTCGGGCCGAGTGTTGGCCGCCGCCTCCAAGCAGCCGCGCTCATTCTCGCTCATGGTGCCCCTTGCCATTCTGCCTATCGAACGAACATATACTATCCGCTATCGACCATTACATTCTGCCGACGGGTGCGGAGCCGTGAACGAGAACTTTCGCGTCTATTCGCACCGCGAACGCGGCCACATGGAAACCAGTCGCACCGCGGCCGAGTGGCGAAACGCACACACAGCGATACACACTTTGTCAGTTAAAGAGGGAATGTTGCTTTCTGCACACTGGATGCACTTGTCCGCGGATGGGTTCGGGTGGCAGACACGGTTGCTACAGGTGGCCACCGCTTGCGACACTTGTTGTGCCACCGTGCAGTTTCGAAAGTTGAACGCGGCGAGCGTACGCGTCACGTCCGCTGCGGTCGGCGGGCGGCGGAGGAATGAGGGCCGCGGCGCCAACGCACACCGCCCCAGGCTTCGCTCTCAATGCGCCGACGACACCAACGTCGTGTGACGCCGCGACAAGTCCTGGACGTCCTGCGACGGAAGAAGACACCGTTTAGCCTACGCACAACTGGTGATACTAAAGTACTTTTGTACAAAACAAATCGGTTAACTAAGCCAATGGGCGCTGTTTTATTAGGCAGATTTTAGGTTATTTTTGTTGATACATTTAAAGGGCACACGAGAATTAGGATATGCAATGGTTTAAATTAGCTTACATTGGTACATTTTCACACAAACAATTTTTAAAAAAAACTCCACGATGTCAATTATGGTTCTAAGGTAATACTTTGTAGAAAAATTTGCTATTTATATCGCAAGTTGTATTGTTTCTTACTTGTGTGTGAACTGTCCCGTCATTAAGTGCAATAAAAAAAAACTCAGTAAACATAAAACTTTATTTCCATCAATAAACATTACTCATAATTACTGTCTATGCACTGTTTATGTCATCCCGGCAGACAAATACCGCTTTTGAATGTTATTCAAATGAGTGAGTGTTCATAATTTATTATAAAAATAAACTGTATCATAAAACGGAAATTTAAAAGAATTTCTATTTCTTTAGCAATAATGCAAATAGGCAGAATATATATTTAAAATATTTGTTCCGAGAACCGTTAATTACCAGACTTTATTGGCGATGGTTTTTATTTGTGCAATTTTATCGCTGATTACACATAAGCCAGTGAAAGCACAATAAGCAACCTACAAATCCAGAAAACATTTGCGATGACGTTTAATAAAACTGACGCAATCCGCACATATGCGATAGTATCAAAAGTATTGCATTAATAACGAACATTGTTAGATAATTGCGATAATATTGCTATGACACGTGTTTATGTAATGGTGCTTTACGTTGATTAATTAATATATAATTAATAATTACAAAATAATGTTGGCCTATTGGTTGAGATATCGACCTGAGGTCATAATTTCAAATCCCAGTCGTCTGCACCTTACTAGTTAGGTGTGAACTATTTACTACCACAACTTAGTAGTTGGTTTAGTAACAGTTAATACGGTCAGTTCAATGTCGATAAGACTACTAACTTTAGTTATTAAAAATGTGAAGGTTTTAAAATTAACGAATTATTAACGTATAACTTGTACGTTATCACTGTGCCACGCAGCCTTTGCTCTTGAAGGAATGAGGAGATAATTCAAGGAAGCAACACGTAATCACACAAACCAGCTTGAAGCTAGAGTGTACTACTGCATTCCGTTTGGTAGACGTTTGGTAACCGGGTTCCACTTTTTAAAATTTTAAAATGCATAAACGCGTTTAAAACGCATCTGCAACCCGATGCGTTACGCCAATGTCCACGGGCAGCGCTCATCACCTGACATCAGGTGAACCACAAGCACCTTTGCCTTCTCACTAGGAACATACAGCCTATGAAGGTCATTTGAAACTACACGAACAACATTTTCAACAAATAACCACTTTGCCAAACGAGCAGACGGTTCACCTGTTGTTAAGTGAATACCGCCGCCCACGGACATCTGTGACACCCAAGGGTTCCAGATGCGTTGACAACCTTTTGAAAATTGGGCTCCGGCCACCTAACTCACCAGACGAAACGCGAAAATAATATACTTCCACTTTACGCTGGTCTTCTGTGAGGTCGTGGTACTTACCCGGACGGGCCTGCCCATTCGTGCAACAGCCGAGGCTGCTACATGGCCCTACCACCGTGATATATGACTTTGACGGAGTGTAATTAAATATCATATAAGGAGCTCTGTTCAAAATGTTCATGTATGTCCTAATTTTTGATTCAGACGTACTGTTTTATCCGAAATCAGATATTTAAAAGACTGACAGATCACAATTTTAATTAAACCTCCTTTTCTACGATTACTCCTTTAATTTTTTTAATTAAATTTGTCTTAGTAAAGGCGTACCTACTTGACTCAGGGAATTGAACTCACAACTCACTTTGTCAAAAAAGAAGAAAGCTTAAAAGAAGGTATTTAGTTGGGGAGCCACCTTACAAAATTCGTAAGCAGTACTATTTCCACTATAAGTTTGTGTTCCGTAAAGCCATGGCACTCGGCCGAGCCTGCCCATTTGTTTAAAAACATGCTCCACTGCAGTAATGAGGTCAACGGACCCAAAATAAACACATTTAAAGTACCAACGATCATTTTGAAAGTTGAAACTTGTGCTTGAACATATATGTAGCTATATAAACTTGTTGTCGGTACTTAACTTCATAAAATATCTGATCGGTAGCATTACATACACAAACCAAGCTAATACAAATCTGTAAACATTGTCGCCCCTAAAATATACATTTTAACAACACGACGATCGTAAATTTCATTCGAGGCGACGTCGGCATGTTGTGCGTCAAATAAATAAGACGCAATTTTCTATTGAAGCAATAGACATCCGCGATGGGGAGGCGCGATCAATCACAATGTAGTCCACGCGCACCCGTCGCCGGTAAGTCGAGAATAATACATGGATACACTGGGCGAAACAGTTCGATCACTACCGCATCAGGTTCCCACCGAAATTCGACCTTTACTTCGGCGATTGAGCGGCTTAAAATCGATCGAGTCAATCGGAAACGCTGCTGCAACCTGTGCGGCGTGGGGAGTTTACAATGCCGCGACACCTCGCGCTTCGTGACTGCAATGCGAAATGCCCCCCAGTCTGCAGGTATGTTCAGAAATAGAACAGACGATCATGATTTATAAGAGATACGTCGACGCGACAATAAAGCGCTTTTGGTGGTTTTTATCAAACACTATCCAGCGCTTTGGTGCTGTACCATCTGAGAGTAAGTTGCGAAATTTTGGGTAGGTAATCCTATTCTCTCTCTGGCTTGATGACACTATAGTGTATTCGGACAGAACTGAGGCTTGCAGCCTAACGTCAACATTATCGACCATAAACATAGAAGAGCCTTAAACATAGGTCTAATGTTTATGGAACTGATTTAGATTTTGGCTCTATGTTTGTTTGTTTGTCTTGTCTTTTTTATGGCAGTACTTGTAAAATTAGTGGACTGACTTAATCGAGAAGTTGTCATGTCCTCAAAAGGCCAGTGCAAATTATACAAGATCCAGCCCCACAAGACCAATGCAAATTAAAAGTATTAATGCAAGATCCATCCACAAGTTCCTGAGGAGGACCCACAAGATGGGCAACGCAGCCGTCCAGAGTGATAGCAATCCCCTTTCATTAAGTGAACCGCTTGTTCTTTAATGACCCTGTGCTGTAAAAAATACGATAACCTTGCAATAGCGGAAAGAAGCGTGCTCCTAAATTGATAGGAGCTCATTACTAGCTATAAAAGTTGAAGGCGAACCAAAACCGTTTGTTTCCCACATTTTAAAATTTGCTTCTTAGGAAACCGATATAAATTCCGCAAATTTTTTCACCGGAGACTTGAAATAAGTAAAAGGTGTCGTTCTCAGATCTATTCCAAACTGTGCGAGATTTGAGCGCAACAAATGTCTTCTCCATTCCGGATTTCGTACTAAAGAAAAATGCAACTCAAACTTGAATGCTGAATCGAAGGCCCGCAAGGCATGCAGACTACTTCTTTGTTCCCAACATCCTCCTACATCGAATTTCTGTCACGAAACTCGCTTCCTGACGTATGACGAGAATTTGCGATTTTTTCTCCATTGTTTGGAAAATTCGCCGCGTTTCCTCTTAGCGCTTGTGTTGAGTTTTTATTCCAGCGCAACTTTAACACACAATATACTCTTCCTTCCCACAGGTATCCGGTGGATCCAGGTGTAGAAAGATACCGGATTGGTTACTTTAGATTTTTTGGTTAATAGTGAAATGTTCCCGATCGTCTAGTGAGTCAGTAGATGGACAGATTACAATGGCGAGACAAATTATAGCCGTGATCTTGGCGTTGCAGAGATCGATAAAGTGAAACTTTATAAGCTTTAACTTTTACATTATTAAAGTAGTAACTTTCAAATTATAAGCACACCTTCAGTTTTTGCTATTGGAAAATTAATACCTATGTCAAAACTAATATGCAAATATGTATAAAGTGCAGCATTTCAACGCGGCATTGATGGATCGGCTAGGGCGTATACTTTTACACGCTGTGAAATATTAACACAGCCATTCTATCGTGACATCATCGTTACTCTGAAAATAAACAAGTTTTATTCGGTAGGTTTGAGAGGAAAAATTCAAGAGTAGAGAAGAATCGGTTTCATAAAATGTTTTGCGATACGCATTATGAAAGATATCATTCTGTTTGGATCACAGCAGTTACAATCGTAGAGAGCTCAAAACCACATTGTACTGTCAAATTTCACGCTCAAATCACGAACAAGATTCACAAGAGTAATCGTTTCGCCATCAATATCGTAGTCATATCTCTTACTTCACTTTTAGTGAACTGTGCTCGTTCACCTTTTGGTTGTAATAACAATATCACTTCGGAGTTTATGATATTCACAACATGTATGCTGCTCAAATCTTAATGGCATCTGTGTCTGCTAAACAGCGTTTAGCAGACACAGGAAGCTCAAAGTCGCTCAGCGAGCTATGGAGCGGGCTATGCTCGGTATTTCTCTGCGTGATAGAGTTCGTAACGAAGACATCCGCAGTAGAACCAAGGTAACCGACATAGCTCAGAGGATTAGCAAGCTGAAGTGGCGATGGGCCGGCCATATAGCTCGTAGAACCGATAACCGTTGGGGAAGAAAGGTTCTGTCGATAAAATCCGTAGATTATTGTGGCATTCCTGAAGATGCCAGATATGCGATAGATTTGTAGCCACTACCTACAGACAGCCATGGGTCACGTAGGTTGATGAATTTTGTTGTGACTTACACAGTCAAAGGCTTCAAAAAATCGGTATAAACGGGGCCAAATTGTAGTCTGTAGCTGAAAGCTTGCATATACAGAAGATGCTAGAGTTACGACATTAGCCAGCAACAATTCCTTATTGGTGAAGGCTAATCATATCTAAAGATGATAAAATGAGAATAAACAGCGCTATCAAATATTTTTAC